GAAATAGGTGTCAATTAACTCAGCTCCGTTTGTGCTGGTTTGTGCAGCAAATATTTTCGTTTCTGTTGCTTTGGATTTGAAGATTTGAAGAAAGTGGGGGGGGCTGGTTGACCTTTGATGACCTCTAGAAACATCTCTTTATATCTTTAAAATGAAAGCGGCACAAACGAAAATTTTTGCTGCACAAACCAGCACAAACGTTTGACACCAATTTTGTCTAATTTGAATAAGGTGGGGGGGCTGGTTGACCTTTGATGACCTTTAAAAATATTTCTTTATATCTTTAAAACAATAGCGGCACAAACGAAAATTTTTGCTGCACAAACCAGCACAAATGTTTGACACTAATTTTGTCTGATTTGAAGAAGGTGGGGGGGCCAACTTCACTCAGCTAGCGGCGCTCAGTGAAGCGGTGCGCGATGGGAGCGCTCACTGTTCCTCCGTCACCTCAGGCTACTATGTGACATTTGCTTCAGGATAAACATTTAATCTTGAATGCTTATTATATATTTAAGCCCATATAGTCCTTTTCTATTGTGGGATAATACACTTAGAGCTCGTGTTGCTATACGAGGCTTATATAAGGCTTTTACATTTTTGCGGCTCCAGACAGATTCTTTTTTTTTTTTTTTTGGTCCAATATGGCTCTTTGAGCAGTTTGGGTTACCGACCCCTGGCCTAAGAGATCAATAGACTTGGGTTCAAATTGGGCGAGATTTCATATATCCAGGCGGTTTATGAAAATTTTTTGGGCTGGAAAACGTGAGTCATTGACATCTGGCAGCCCTGCTGATGTGGTGAGTGTGGNTTTTAAAGATATAAAGAAATATTTCTAGAGGTCATCAAAGGTCAACCAGCCCCCCCACCTTATTCAAATCAGACGAAATAGGTGTCAATTACCTCAGCTCCGTTTGTGCTGGTTTGTGCAGAAAATATTTTCGTTTCTGCTGCTTTGGATTTGAAGATTTGAAGAAAGTGGGGGGGCTGGTTGACCTTTGATGACCTTTAGAAATATCTCTTTATATCTTTAAAATGAAAGCGGCACAAACGAAAATTTTTGCTGCACAAACGTTTGACACCAATTTTGTCTAATTTGAATAAGGTTGACCTTTGATGACCTTTAAAAATATTTTTTTATATCTTTAAAACGATAGCGGCACAAACGAAAATTTTTGCTGCACAAATCAGCACAAAGGTTTGACACTAATTTTGTCTGATTTGAAGAAGGTTGGGGGGCCTACTTCACTCAGGTAGCGGCGCTCGGTAAAGCGGTGCGCGATGGGAGCGTTCACTGTTCCTCCGTCACCTCAGGCTACTATGTGACATTTGCTTCAGGATAAACATTTAATCGTGAATGCTTATTATATATTTAAGCCCATATAGTCCTTTTCTATAGTGGGATAATACACTTAGAGCCCGTGTTGCTATACGAGGCTTATATAAGGCTTTTACATTTTTGCGGCTCAAGACAGATAATAATTTTTTTATTTTTTTTTGGTCCAATATGGCTCTTTGAGCAGTTTGGGTTGCCGACCCCTGGCCTAAGAGATCAATAGACTTGGGTTCAGATTGGATGAGATTTCATATATCCAGGCGGTTTATGAAAATTTTTTGGGCTGGAAAAGTGAGTCAGTGACATCTGGCAGCCCTGCTGATGTGGTGAGTGTGGACGTTACGCAGCAGCAGTCACTGCCGCGTCCGTGTTTATAACCAAAGCCACTAAAACCGCTGTATAGAAGTCTTGGTGATGATTGTGGTGTGATGCTTGAAGATAGATTGGTTAATCTACAATGTGTATTCGTATCGAGGTTTCACGGTGCAGATGGAAAATGCCAGGGCCAAAAATTGTTGCCAGTCCGAGTCTGTATGTTTCAGTGTTCTTGGGTGCTTTTATTGTATGACGCGTCTAATGCTATCAGGCCTTAGTGTTTACTGTATCTGTTGATGATCTGTATATCGTCCTCTCCTTTGGCTGGGTGGTTGCAGGCGCATCAAGCGCTTGAGTCACAGTCTGTGACTGGTCACAGATTTTTATGTAACAGTTACAGTAGCAGCCATTCAAAATGGCCCTTTCCAGTCAAACGTCAGCCGAATGGTAGCCCACTTCCCTGCAACTCCCAGCAGAATCCCCTCCAACCTCCAGCCACTGGATTGACCCCTCCTTCTCCTGGGCGTGCATATTTTTTTGAACTGACTCCACCCTTTCACTGAATTACAGGGAGATAGCGCTTCTATTTATATCTTAATGTCCACAAATCATGACAGAAAAATTATATTTTAGTACAAAGGTTAATGTTTAAAAAGGAATTGTAGGGGACCAGCCAAGGGCCCATCAATGAAAGTGGGGGAATTTAGAATGGCTACTACTGTAGGATTCTGGCTCTTTTGGGCTGTTGTCGCTGCACTTTGGTTGGGAAGTAATGGGGGAAAGATACCCAGGTTGATCAAAACAAAAGATCTCATTTCTACATGAAATTTGGGAATGCATTCAATTGATTGGTGGTATGCAATTTGATTTAAGCTATTTCTGATCAAAGCACGTTAAACATGTTGCATACAATGCCCTTTAATATCTAAAGAACATTGCCAGAGAGAAGACCATTCTTAAACAGTCAAAAGCAGGAGCTTTTGCTCATTCTTTCACAACCTCTGTTATAGAAAACTGTAATGCTCAGTTGCAAGAACTTTAATACTTTGAAATGATATCTTATTGCTGTTTAAAAGATTAATGATTATGATAAGTACTGCCACATGTCTATAGACAGTGTTTCCCACTAATCTATCGTCATGCTCTTTGGCTTTTGGATGTGTAGACTCCTGGAGAGGATTAAGGGGAGTTTGTTAGTTTGGATGTCTTATCTGTTGACCTTTGGAGTTCCCTCCAGGTATGTCTGAGATTTGGTGAATAGTTGGGGCTAGAACCTACAGGTTTAGGCTTTGTGGGTTGTGTTTGGATTCATTCTGTGTGGTATGACTTTTTGGGGTTGAGCTGGATGCTTCCTTGTGCCACAGGATTATTGCTGCTTAATGCAGCTAGACCACGGCTTTATAGATAAATATTTTACAAATTATATCGAGGCAAGATCAGTGAAAATATATCTACCTGTAAAAATTGTGAAAACCACGTGATTACCGACCAAACAAGCATTAAATAACAGACTTGTGTACAGAGCAGGTTACAAACCTGTGGCTCCAGGCTTTCATACAGAGAGATGGTAAAAGTAATGGAAGAAGACAGGAGACAGATGGTGAGAGGTGCTGAAGCCTGACATGAACAACAGAGTTGAGAAAGCAAAGGGATTATTGCAGTTGGCGGTGGTTGGTGGCCTAACTCTGCAGCTTTAACCCTGCAGCTTTATCTGAAGCTGTTGCCAAGTTTGTTTTCACCTGAAATTAACTTGAAAGCCAATGTTAGAAATCAAAGGTAAAAATGTATTATTAATTGTACACTGCAAAGAATAAATAAAGGGAAAACATAAAAAAGTAACATAAATTAAATAAAACTTCTGTGAAATCAAACTGTCCACTTAGAAGGTGTTAAAAATAGGCTCTCTGTGTGTCTACACCTTGAAGCCCTTTCTCTTTGGTTCTTTTTCTTGAAAAGGGGTCACTCTGGACAAACTCTTTAAATAACACTTAAAAACTTATATCTATTAAGTAACCAGGAGACATGACAACAGATTCTGATAGAAATTGTAATCTTACTCAGATCAGAGAAATTGCTTAGAGTTTACAGAAGGCAGCTGCTCACCTCTGGGCTCACCTCTCAGGAAGTGGCCCCAATTATCAGTTAAAGAGGCATTTAATACATCTCCAGTCTGACACATCATCACATCATTACATCATACATGTTGGCAGATAAGGATACATCATTGCTCCAGCCTTATCAAAATATTACACTTTGTTCTTAGCTGAAGGACGCCGCTCTTATTCCATTTCCAAATATTTTCCACATACAGAATGATTATAACTGTATATCGGGACAGAGAAACTGTCTTAATTAGATCAAATATTGTCAAAAACATCAGTTCTGACACGCTACAGGCAGCTAATATTAAGGAGTATTAAACTCACACATCATTGATGATAATTATCTTAACAGAAGTGACTCTGATTGACAATCAGTATAACATGATGCTATGCAAATGCAATAGAAAACAGGTGGAACTTATTGGCAATTAGTAAGACACAGTCAGTAAAGAAGTGTTTCTGCATGTGGAGACCACATGAGATCCTCAGAACAACTGTGAGACCATATGCTGCTGCAGTTTCTCCTAATGCAGGACAATGCTAGACCTCATGTGGGTGGAATGTGTGAGTAGCTCCTGCAAGATGGAGGTTACAGGAACCTGGGAGGAGATCCCAGGTCTTCATTGGTTGATGCATTTAATTTCTATTGATGGCTTTTGTGGGTTATTTTTGTAGGTACATTCATCTTTGTACAGAACAAAGTATTCAATAAGAATATTTCATTCATTCAGACCTAGGATGTATAATTTGAGTGTTCCCTTTATTTTTTTGGGCAGAGTAATATACATAACAAAAGTACGAGACCCTTGGTTATAACAGGTTAAAACACAGAAATGACTTTATACATGTAAATGTCCATAAACTTTGTCAATAGAAAAACTGCGACATCAAATCCCTTTGCAGTGATATTTTGTCTGGTTTATGTGTTGATTTCCAATCAATGTTTTATACATGTCAGACCTCTTTACACCCCAACAGATGTACCCTACGGATCAGCTAATGTAGTGTTAAGTTAATCTGAAAATCAGATCAGGCAAAATTCTCTCTGACATCCAACACTCTCTGGTAATTACACCTTTGAGTGAAAAGCCAGAGGACCATATGGCCCACCTGGCCGCTGCTCTAACCGGTGACCGCAAAATCGCGTTGACAATGTAAGAGGATAACGCTGGCAGTCTGCATGTGTGAGAAGGGGGGAGTCTGTGTTAATCTTTGCATTCGCCTTAACAGGCTGTTTGTTCAGCAGGTCAGTGGGTAGACCAAGGTGACAAAGAACACTGAAAAGCACTTGGTGTGAGGTTTTGCAGAAAAAAATAAAGAAAAAATGGCAGTGATGTATCGATTGTCTGCTCTGGAGAATGAGGAACTGATGGCTTTGTATGGAGAGGAGAGAGAAATCTACGGTCAGAGAGACGAGGACTGCATCAGTGAGGTGAGGATTTATACCATGAACCAGGCTATAGTGATAACTGTGTCATGTTTTTTTATTTTTTATTCAACACTCTTCTGTACTAACATTAGAGTCTGAATAGGAAAATATAAGCAGAATGCTTTATTACATACCTGATGATGTTTTTTCAGTTATTGTAGTACCTCAGCTAAAACAATGTGTCAATCAGGTCTAATTAAAGAAAATAAATTTCTTGCAATGTTTTTTGAAAAAAAAAAGAAAAAAAAGAAAGAAAATAACCTGGGTTGATTCTACAAGAAACTGACATCTAAGTTGTGAAGCAAAGATTAATTAGCAACAGATGAAAATCAGCCAAGTTAACCCTCGATCAGCTGTATTTGGTGATGATAGATCACCAAATTCAAGAGATTTTCTTTCTCTGTTATATAAAGGAAACCCAAAATTTCCCAACCCATTTTTGGACTGTAAACACAAACGGCAGACCAAAGTTTGGTGCACCACTGCAGCTTTTTAAGTTTATCTAAAGTGCAGCTACAGGTCGGACGTATAGTAAAATGAGATAATTGCTTCATTGCTTTTTTCCTAATTTTCCATCTATCAAGGGACCTGAAGAACAACCTATTTTACTTTTATCCTCAGTCCCCCAAGAATACCGTAGAGAATCAGAGCAAAGAAGCATTATGCTGCATCTATGCATCTAAACCTTAACCTGAGCTTTTTTCTGGTTGAGAAATGAAACAATAATTGTGGTTTTTACTTTACTTAAGCTGAGCTTACATTACGACCACGTAGAGGTTTGTTCCTGTAATTATAAAATATTATGTGTATTGACTGAACATCCAACTCTGCAGGAGAATGACCAGGATTCAGAGAGTAGTGAGGATGGAAACGGCGGCAGAGGCGTCCGCAGCTCTCTGTCTCTGGAAATCTACGGTCTGCAGAAGGAGGAGCAGGTTTACTTCTCCAACCAGGAGTACTACAGGAGGCTGGAGGAGCTGAAGAGCGCTCACCTGAGAAACATGGCAGAGCTGGAGAGGATGTACATCAGTCAGGGACAGGACAGGCATGAAGGAAGGGAGGATGAGGAAGCTCTGGGAAGATGGAGAAACAAAGAGGAAAAGCACATGTTCCGGTCAGTCATGTTCAACTGCTGCTATACATTGTTTGTTTAGAAGGAGGAAGAACATTTTAAAGGATGTTAAATGAGGCAATTATTTTAAACTTCTCATTTAATCCAATCTGCCGTACCTTGCAAAAAGATTCATATATCTTACACATTTTACACACACAGTCCTAATAACCTGGGGCAGGGGATAAATAAACAGAAACAATGCTTTATTGTGCACAGAAATAAAAGTATTGTGTGTTTTTCAAGTTTTTCTTTTCAAATAAAAGACAAAATTTGTGTTTACGTCAAATTTCTAACAGAACCAAATGCAAACCTTTTTAAAGATCATTCCAAAAAAAGAAAATTAAAATAAAAAATCCACTGACATTTTGAATTGAATTTTTCAATTCAAAATGTCAGGAATAGCGCTGACTTGGAGTTGGAGTTTTATACAGTAGCCCAACAAAACAAAACCAAGGCTTTGTTGGGCTATTGTATAAAACCTCAAACTCAATGCTATTCCTGACATTTTGAATTGACAAAGCTTCCTGGATGGGAAGCAAACTTCTTCAAAACTTGGAAACAAAGTCCAGTGGATTTTTTTTATTTTAATTTTCTGTTTTTGGATGGATTATGACCTGGATGACTGAGAACCTTCATCAGCTTTTTAAAGATCCTTTAAGTGGTGATTTAATGTCACTGTGAATCCAGCTAATCTAAGAAAGCCTCAGTGGTGCATCAGGGGCCACAGCAGACAGATGAGGGGTGAAGTTGTGGAGCGTTTTAAAGAGTTCAGACTGAAATACTTAATAAAAAAAATCATCAAAATAAGCAAGAACTGAAAACCTACCAAGATATAATAATTTAATGTTCCACATAAACTCCTGATTTATCCTGAATGTTTACATCTTTACATTTGACTACGCAGTTAGACAAAAGTGTGGCCCAAAACAGAAGGGATTAGTAGTCAGGTTGAGAATCAGACAGTTTATTTACATCTGAAGGGAAGTGGACAATCTCTAATGTTAATAAATGTCAATAAATCCCAAAAATAAACAAGGCCAGCTTAGATTTAATCGCGCTAACACCTACAGCGAAGCCTGAAGTCATCTCCTCAGTCTGTTTTACCATCATTTAGCAGCTTCCTCACAAAGACTATGGGAAAATGTTCATTATATGGAGAATGAAAGAAAACAAAATGCAATAAAAAAAAGGAGATTTATGTTTTTATTCACTAATAATTAAGAAATGCATGTCAATAATGCAGAACTTGTTACTATATTCCTAACAGGACTAATAACGGCGCCCCATTTGGCTGCGGGCCGGCCAGGAGACTGCAGAGGATTAATTCCCAGGAGGAGCTGGATTTCCGTGACACATCTAGCGGCTCTGACCAATCAGAAACCAGCGGGGAGGATTACTTAGGAGAACTGGGATGGACTTCCAACTTACAGCAACCCTTTCAGAGGTTTGTTCAAAAAGTCACTAAAAACTTCTCAGTTCACACAGAAACTTTTAATGAGAAAAACATCCGCTGCCTCTACTGATTCCCTTCATCAGTTGTTTTATCAGCAGGTTTACAGCCTAGGTTGCAATACCTCCAATATTTGTAAGTGAAGCACCTTAAAGAAAAACATATTTTTCTCTTTTCATTTCATCCAGGAACTTCATGCATATTCCAGAACGCATTATGGCCAAAAAGAACCTGCGATTTCAGCAGAAACCACAGGGAAGAGCGTCCTGTCAAACAGGTGGCAGAGCTCAGTCCAAAGTCACCGTCCCCAAACCCTTCCAGATGATGCTGAGAGAAGAGGAGAGGAAGAGGCACAGGGTGCGGACACGTTCAGAGGTGGAGCTGGAGAACACCCTGCTGAGAAGAGAGCTGGAGGAGCTCAGAGAATGCCAGAAGAAGTTCAGGGCCTCTCCCGCTCCGGCTCACATCCACCTGCCTCTCTATGAGATCATCAGCCGTCGCCACAGAGGCAGGGGAAGCTGCAGCAATGTCCGCGAACGGAGTCAGGAGCCTTTCCAGTTCTTGGAAAGAGAGAGGAGAAAGAGGGAGGCCAGGATAGCAGAGGAGCTGGGAAACTTTAGTCGGAGAGAGGAGCGCCAAGGCTTCAAGGCCACACCGCTGCCCAGCTCGGTTTACGGGAACAGGCAGGCCCATCGACAAAAACGCCACCACCAACTTCAAACCGTCTTCCTGATGGAAAGAGAAGCCTCAGAGAGCCAGAGTGATCCAAGCTCAGACTTCAGCAGCGCAAAGAGATGCTCATCGTCCAAGTCGGTGAAGAAGCAGATAGAGCTGTCCATCGAGATGAAGGAGAGGAAGTAGTTATCCACCGTCCTAGTCAAAGTTCAAAGCAGGAACATCTGTGCACACCTGGAGCCAGCAGAATACCAGCTTCCTACTCTTTTACTGTGTAAAAACACAGATTGTTCCACAGTAGCTATATTACAGCCTCTGTTCAAACAGCTAACATTCTTAGTAACTCCTATAGTATGAATCTTTAAGAAACAGCTGCACTTGGTTGACATATTGCACCGTAGTATTTTAGAGAATCATAAATCTTGTAGCAGGTCATCTGCTGTGTAAAAAATAAATCAGATTCATTTAACAGTTTGTCATTCAGTGTCTTGCAGTGTGTTGGATTTGCATGTACTGTCTCTGTTTTTAGGAAAAACTATTACCATGCCAATCACCTCTAGGTTTCCTGCATGCATTTTCCTTTAATGCATATCATTGTTAGATTCTATCCTGCATTCTGATTTGTTTTGTGGGAAA